ACAAAGCATTTGCAATTAGTTAACTAAATGGGTTTGTTCTTCTCTTTTAGTTCAGCGCTTACGAATTTTTGCCTGATGGTTGGTTTCAGCTCAGCGAAAAAGGATCACTTTTTGAACCCCGATATTTAAGTATGTATAGTATTAATAAACTGGTCTAACACATATTAAGCCTTCAGGTGATTGAAATCTGCACATATTGAGTGGTCAGTGTATTCAACTATCTTCACGGGGATGAAATGGTTTAAAGATTACATATGAAATTTCAAGTCATAACTAAACAAATGAATTCTAAACCGAGATATATAGGCATAGCAAAACACGTTTAAACTGCAGCAACTTTTATTCAAACCACTTTATACATGTAGCTCATAATTAGTTCAACAGAGGATGTGTGTTTTGAGGAAACTACGTTAAGATATATATAGAATTTACACAAATCAAATCAAATTATACTGCAAATCTATGCAGAGCCTTATAAAAATCATGGTTTAAAAAACTTGGAATTAATACTACTTAAAGCTAAAGTTATTCATATGGGATTGTATAGATTTTCGGAAGTAAGTAATAAATTTAGGGAGAGAAATGCTTTGTTATTTTTACCCCCCTTCCTTCGGTGAGGTATAAATCGTTTTATCAAAGCGAATGTTCTTGATCAGTATCAAATTCTAAATAGATTCAAGCATGTCCGTCTGTGTACTGTTTGTCGTAGCCATTCTCCTGCCGCAAAAATAAAGCTATCGATTTTGGCATAAATGTTGGAAGTTCTTGCGTGCAGGTTGGCATTGAAAATGAGCCAAATCGGTCGAAGGATACGACTACAGCACCACGTAAATTAAGAACATCTGGTTTTTGAAAAGGAGTAAAATTTGATGACCCACACGCCTATGCGACAAAAGTTTTATTTCGAAATCAGAAGAATTAGTTGCGTCGCTTGCATTTTATAGAGAATGAAAATTTGGTTCTTTTCCTTCCTTTGTCACGACCGAATATCATTGCCTTACTTGTTTTGTATTTTGTAGTGAAAGTTCACTTAACACGATAATTATACACTAGAAGGTACCCTGTGGTGTAAGGGATATTAAGTTTGTGTGGGAGTACGTAACACCCACAAAAATTTTAGTTAGACACACATTTTATTGTACCTATCGATTCAGAATAATTTCTGAATGAATCTAAGCTTGTTTGTCCTTCTGATGTCTATGCATGAATTTTTCTCTTTAATCAAATTTGGTGCACTGAGGTGTTTTTGACCAAAGAAAAACGCTACTAAAAATGGTTCGGATCCGTCCACTTTGTCGACCACTCCCCATATAACATCCTATTTCCAAAAGTTTTTGTATGGAAAAAAATTGTAATTTTAAAAATTTCTCGACGAAAATCGTTGAGTAACAGTATTTCGGCATTCATTGGTGTAAAAACTTTGACTCGACTGCGGCAAATTTTGAATCCGCTCTCAACTGTTCTTACGAAAACTGAATCTTTATGTAGAAAAGAGGTATAATTTTTAAAAATTATATTCAGTGACAACCGACTTTCTGTTATATTCTCTTACTTTATTAAGGAAATAAATTCGAAAAACTTAAGGCACTCGCGTCTAAGGCTACCGACTTTAATGGAAATTCTACAGCCTGAGTAGCTAAGTAGGCAGAGGATTTCGACTATCAACTCAAGTGGCATTTTATGGCAACCGAAATTGATAATAAAGCATAAATGCTGACAATAAAAACTGAACACATCGAATAACAACAGCGGCCATATATATGAATTTCCTAAGGCACTTCTATTGTAAAATGTTCTCGTACAAAAAATAAATTGACGTGACGTCATGTGATTGGTAAGGCGAACACATACGTGGTGGACAGGAGACATTAGGAAAGTGAAGTAAACGGAACTTAATCACTTCCAATCTTTTGTTGGGCGGGGGCCTCTTTTCCTATTTATGCACATAAATAGTAAAGTTTTCCATAAAGAAAAAATTTGAGTTTTCCATCTTTCGTGGATTTTAAATAATGAGAAAAAGCAAAAAAATTTTTGTTCAGATAATCGGAATTGTGTTCAGTACACGTTTTGTTGCGGGCGTGTGCTCTAACCAATTTAGCGCATTTTCAATACCAACTTCCGTGTAAAAGCTGCCAATGCTTCTACTAAGCTTGGAGAAGACGTCTTCATTTTTGCGACCAGGAAAGTGCCAACTACACACACCAAACAAACAAATAAACTGGCAGACGCGGCTAAATCGATTTAGAATTTGGCACTGCTTCTATTTAGGTCGCAATAAGTCAACCCCCATCCTTCGGTGGAGACTATAGGAAAATGCAATGCAAAGGCTTTCCTTCACTCTTATAGATCTTATTAATAATAAAGGGTTTAGTTTTGCAAACTTTATTCTCCATGTTCACTTATGTAATCTTTAAAAAAAGCGCTAGCAGACGGGTTAATATTCAGCCAGCTGCAATTGAATCTTTAGTGTGGTCAGACTGTACACTTATTTATGTAAGTGGCTGTACCATATCATTGATTACTATTAGCGGAATCATAGATTTATTGTAACTGCTTGATCATAGGAAAAAGCATTTTATAAAACGTTATATCCACATAAAATTTTCAAGCTGTTCTGGGGACCTACTATTATTTGTTGCTATTGTTGATATTTGTTTGTTTAAAATACACACGACAATCATTGTGTATTGACCTTTGTTTGAATTATAAACACACTAGAAAATGCTTTCAAGTGTAAATAAAAACATTCATGCTATAGGATTATCTATCTATACAGTGAAGCACAAAAGTTTTCGAACAGGATATC